CCTACCTACCAAAGAAATATAGGCACATACACACAGTAGGCCAAAACCTCCTTTGTAAGAAGAGACCTATGTCCAGCAGTGGACTATTGTAGGCTGTTGATTATGATGATAATACACTTTAAAAACAAAATGCTCCTTCTAGTGTAGTCGAGTAGATAACTTAGATTTAAACTCGGTGACTACCGAAATTAATAAATAATCGACATGTCAAATAAAAGTAATAATATGTTTACCTCTTTCGTATAAAAGAAAGCTTACAACCTCAAATAAATGACGTAACACAATGGATACCTGTCTCGATATTTGTCCCACAGTGGGTCAGCAGTGATGTGGTCAATTTTATGACGGCTGTATACCACCCGCAGCGTCCAACCTTCGAGTCCAGGTGCTAAATAGTCGACAAGTATCAATGATGTATTAAGTATTTTGTATTATATGCCTTTTCTTATTCTTCTAAAGCTCAATTTATTCAATTAAGTTATGAAAATTGTATTTTAAAATTAACTGAGGACGTTGTTGTCATAATTTATACCTATTTATATAGTTGGCAACTTTAGCTACTTTATTATTTTTATATTATTTTTATTATTCATAGTGCAATTTCTTTTCAAAGTTTTATCGCAGGCTAAAAACTTAGAATGACTTTGAATCCTGACTATTATATTCTCATTATGATAACGAGGAAATTTATTTAATTTAATTTTAATGCAGAAAATAATTTCCAGTCCAAAAATAATAAAATATGTGTAAAAAATCGTTTAGTTGCCCAAACTTCTGAATTAGGAAGTTGTGTTAAATTATAACCAATAAATGTTTACAAAATGTTTACAGATGTAACACCAATATAACAGTTGCACTGTGATATAACAAACCTGTTCATCAAATATTACATGTCACTTGAACTCATATTAGTACCTATCATACAGTAAACTTGCATACACACCTTGAATGAATGAATGAATGATGAAACATTGTTTCATTCATACCTCAATCGTTCTTTTGAAGTATTTTCGCCGATTTCTTAAACAAATTAACACTGTTGTCCACGTGTGAAACCTTCTGTGTATTTTTATAGCTTTATTGTCGCCGGTAAGATAACCCGTCAGTGCAGACTCTTGCGCAAGCCGACAAAAGTGAAATTGTCCAGCAGTAAAAGTGGCGATAAGTACACCTTTTTTGTTGTTTTTATTGCGACAAAAGTCATTGTTTCCTAGTAAAGGGTTATAGTTATAGTGCAAGGATATACTTTGATAGTTACAAAGACTTATTTCAACTACGTACATATAAAGGAGACACCGCAAAGTAAGAAGTTGTACAGAGACAGAGTAAGGGTAAATCGTCACCAAGTTATTTTTGGGCAGAAAAATTATCAGGTCTATGTAGTATGTTATCAGGCGCAGAAAATTATTGAGAATTAGATAAAAAACAAAAAACATGGGATTATGCCATGGATGTAGTCGGCAAGGTATGCAATGAATATAAACATCCAATCCTTCTAGTTACCGGTTGTGCTAAAAAGAAACGTTCACACCACACGATGTAATCGATACCATCAATGATCGCATATTACGAATATATCTTTATACTCACTGCACGGATGGTGTAGTGGTTTAAACGGTCGCCACGCCGCTTACTACTGCACTGAGTGTTGTGGGTCCGATCCCCACATGGGACAACACTTTGTGTGATCCACAAATTGTTGTTCTGAGTCTGGGTGTTCTTTATGTCCGTTTCATGTATGTTTGTAAAGTCTCCAGCGACACAAGATAAATTCCTAATGCAGGAGTTGTCTTTAAAAAAAAAGAAAAAATAATATCTAATACATACCTATATTTGTAAATATAATGAGACAGTATTGAACTAAGAAATAAATAAATGTTCTTCAATAATTAATTTATTGTTCTAGAATTAAATGCAAGAATATTGAACTTCATTTGACTTCTTCTCCAGTATTAATTATTGTTATAAAGATTAATTTGAAAGTGAATTAGTATAACTATTTGTGAAATAAAACTTGTGTTTCTTTTCATCGACACGTTTTGCAGATGTTGTTTTGAACACGTTTTGAAATTATAAAGATCCAATTAAATATATATATATATATATCATAGGACCAAATATCAGCTGGCAAAATATGGTTATTTACCTAATACTCCTCTGCAATTAATTACCTTTCGGGGTATTGGCGTAAGTTAATATTTAATTGTACCTACTACGAATAGTTTGAGTGTTAAGACTATCAATTTAATCAGTCAATTATTAAACAATCAAGTCATGTTCAAAAGCAAAGTGGAAATCCTTTAATTGAATTTCTGATTTCACATCAATAATAATATGTTTAAAATTTTCATTTAAATGGAAGAATTTTAAGAATGTATGGAGCATTTTTATGAAAAATTGAGTTAAATTTGTTTTTATAGCACAAGCAAAACACTAGTTTTTATAACAATAACATAAATTATTACATAGGGTATACATTTATGCAAAATTCGTGAATGCATCCATTTTTATTCTTTTGTATGAATGAGTATAAATAAAAAAAACAAATGAGATTTGTAAATACTTAATTTTATTAATTCTGAAACTAACAGATGATATATAAGTATCCTATCTAGATTCGAGTAATACAACAAAAATATGTATTTATGACTACAAGAATTAATTTAGCACAACTACCTATTTGAAATAATTTTAAACACTTGATATGCGGGTGAGGTAAGCAAGCATTACACGTCGCTAAAATGTACTATAAACCGACTAATTTAACGATATAAACTTAAGTTGAGCAATATTGATCAATAATAAAATGTTATATAAGCAGATATATTTTTAATGACTAAAACAATCGTCAATCTAAAATTTAATTCACCTATAAAGAATCTTAATAAAATATACATATTGATCGACATGCGTATTATTTCAATCTTATTTCAAATATTATTTATTTGAATAAAATAAATGAAAGTTTGAAAATAGTTAGATTGGCAGTAATGATATGAAATGTAGCTAATTTTATATAAACCAATACGTCTTAAAAATTAGTTAAAAGTATAAATAAAATATAATAATGATATGCTTATAATTTGATGCTATTTATACGTTTAATATCTTACAAAACACAAATATAATTTGACAAAGTTAGTTTTATTAAATGAAATCCACTCCACGTTTTTATTGATTTGAAATGTACTTGAATAATATAAGTTAACTAGTAATATACAAAAAAAACTGTTAAGTATTATGTGTGTGTAAAGAAATATGTGCGCTTCTAAGCACTTGAAGGCTGTGTAAGCATGTTAGTTAAGGTTTCTCTCAAGGTTTACGAACTAAATCGGATGTCTCAAGGCAAACATGATTATGTCAATTTTAGCAGCCTTAAGTCGTCACGTCACAATTTCATTATAAGTGGACAAAATCCTTGTCACTTCGTCGCGAGTGATTATATTCTGGGTCAACCGATTGCTTTAATAGCAATTGATACATGTATTCAGACAATTTGGCATATATACAACTCTGGAGTACAAAAAATATATCTATTGTGTGAAATATCATTTGTTTCGTATTTAGATGTTTTTTATTAGTTAAGGAAAAAAATTAAGTAAATTAACTACGTGACTGAATGATTAGTTTATGTAAATTTAAAAATATCGTAAGATAAATGAAACTAATTCTAAACCGATAATTTAACTCTCTGAATGCTAAAACAGTATGAAATTAAATTAAGTGATAAATTAAACACATGTTTGAAAAATGATAAGTATACACATACTACTAGGAAATATGTAAACGTCACTCACCTCACCCGCTTGTGATCGCTGCAATAAATGCTAAATTGACGCTTGCATATAAATATATATTCAAATGGAATGTGCAGAAGCCGAGATAGGTACCTATCTTACACCAAACACCTTTATTTAATAGTCATTATATATTTACCTTACGATTTATATATACAAATCCTTATCTACACTAATCGCAATGGTTGATGACAAAACTCAAATTCCATTTCGCCTAGCTAAATTCATATTTATATATATTTATATGTTAAATTTTTTACACGATTTGTTACACAAACGACATTGCACAGTTCAACCGTTCACGATATGAAGTCATATATGTATACCCCGACGTACACCAACCCTACGCTTCGTTTGTATAATTGAATTAATGTATTATAAAGGGTTACTTTTTTGCATCATCAACCAGTTGTGTACATTGTCTGCTCTAACAATGTATATTTTTTGTTGATAGAGAATTAAATCCTGAGTAAAGAACTCAGTCATTGACTATTACTCAGTTTTTGTGCATGTCATTTCAGATATTTATTTTATATGCACGTTCCCATCTTATATTATATTTTAATTGAATGAATGTATTGTAAAAGACATCAACGCGTCACACAAATAGTTTATCTAAACATGAACCGATAAACATTGTGATAACACCGTATCGATCGCTTTCTTATCAAATGATGTCTAGCTAGTTAGGCGGGCAAAGCTTTTATTTAGTTTTACGTCAATTATACACAAAATCGTTGTAGCAATAGTTGGTATACGTGTGGGAGTCGATTAAAATGACTGTAAAGGACACTTTCTCAGAAGTTCCACAAACAATTGTAGGCCTACAGTCGCGCAACCGCCGCCCGCCCCGAGACACAACCCACAACGTCCAACGTGCACTAAACATCTATGGCCTACTAATAAAACGCACACAAAATGGACTTGTAAAAAAAATAATAGCAAATATTTACACCATATACAATTAACTCGGTCGGGGGCGAACGCCGCGCGCGACGCGCATAATATCACCAAAACACGAAACGCTCACTCGGAGTCCAATATCAGCATGAGATTTTACATGTACAGAAGCTGTAGCAGCCCAGGTGCTGGTCGCGGCGCAGGGCGACATAGCACGGCACGGGGCAGCTAGGGCGCAGTGGGCACATCATGCGGCACGCACCAAGAGGGCGCGCGCCGTGCCGCCTACGCCAGCGGATACTGTCACAAAGGCGGCTGCGCGTGCGCATGGTGATGGTGATACAGAGGTGACTGGTAGTAGTTGTCCGCCGGAGAGTGACCGTATCCGTAATTCACATCGTACATTTTCAAGTCCGCTTTCGTATCAGCGCCGGGTAACAGCCGTGTGATGCTGAAGGGATGTTGAGCGGGCGCGTAACCAGTTGGCTCCTGTTTCAACTGCGCATAATGTTCTAGAGCGAGCGGCGTATGTTCTGGTAGGCATAACTCTGGTGCCGCATGCAACTGTGCCAACAATTCATCTCTCATCTCTTTGTCTTCTCCTGGTGCTCCGCCTCCACCTACACCGCTCTTTTCGTGTCCGTGGTCGCCACGTTTCTCATGTGACCCACCATGGTGACCATGTCCGTGTGTAGATTTTTGTGCTTGTCGAATAGACTCCTTCTTTTCATCCTTGAATCGTTTCTGCCGTCGCAGAAAACAGCCGTTCTCAAACATATTCCCACTGTCCGGATGCAACGTCCAAAATGAGCCCTTCCCAGGTTTATCTGGCGTCCTCGGTACTTTAACAAAACAGTCATTGAATGACAGCGAGTGCCGAATAGAATTCTGCCAGCGCTGCTGATTTTGTCTGTAGAACGGGAACAGGTCCATGATGAACTGGTAGATCTCTGAGAGGGTCAGCATTCGCGTTGGATTGTTCTGGATGGCCATTGTGATCAGCGATATGTATGAATATGGAGGTTTGGCGTGTGTGTACGAACGGCGATAAGTTTTGTCGTTACGTGCGCGCTGCAGAGCTGATGTCGGTGATGCGGCCTCTTGCTCGCGAGGAAGCGAGCCGTAGGGCACGGCGCCGCCGCCGCCCATGCACGACGCCATGGTGCTGGGCGGCGAGTAGCCGACGCCCGGGGAGCCCATACACGAGCTGCCAGCGACCATGTTGTTGGTGTAGAGATTCGGGTACGGTTGAGCTGGCATGCAGCCCATGCCATTAACGTAAGGAGGCGCGAGGCCAGGCGACAACGAAGACAGCGACGCGGACGTCGGCACGTCGCCGTACGAGAGCTTCTGCGAGATCATGGCTAGCGCATCACCCGCGCGTGCACGCCGGCCAGGGGCAAACACTCGCACTGATTGAAAGAGTAAATAGAGGCCGGGGGCTCGGGCTCCCCTCCACCGCGGAGGCTATTGGCGCGGTAGGGCGGGGCCGGCGCAGACCCGCCTGCTCATTTTACCCCGCGCTCCGTACCCCTCGCCCCGCTCTTCTGCCCGCCCCGCGCTCTCGGTGCGCGCGCCTCACCGCTCCGTCGCTGGTAATACCGCAGCTCTGAACGATAAAACCATTGGAATTATCATAAGTGTTTCAGCAGGAATATGTGTTTGTGATGACCGTTAAAACTTACTGTACAAAGCTGTATAAGCATTCACACAGTGATATAGAAATTCGTAGAAAATGTAATCACAGATAAGTAATGTCAGTGAGATCATTGATTAGATTATCATCACTCGTATGAAATAGGTGCTTCTCTGTAAGATAGGTTTAGTATTGAATTAAGTGCTCATGTCTGTTTGATTCATAATTTACATATACTTGCTGAAATGTTGCTAAATGTGATTTTCATTACCGCTAAGTTAACATAGTTTTTACAAACGCGTACATACTCGACTTACAGATTGTTAAAAAATATAGTATCTAGACTCTAAACATTATACTTTACTTGCTTTGTTGAAGAGATAATAGATATTCTATTATTACAATAAATAACATTCGATAGAAAAGAAATATTTTATAGGTAGAAAAATATGATAAATAAAATCCGAAATGAACTAAAAACGAAATGCGTATAAGAAATAATAAAAAAAAACTTGACTTAGAAACTAAAGCACCTTGGTTCTTATTATCAGATTAAATTCAAACCATATATTTATATATGTACCTACTTACGCTAAACTTCGAAACAATAACTAGGTAGATAGGTACCTACTGCATTTCGTGTACTAGACATGGAAATTATTGTATATATTTATATATAAATTAGGCACAGGCGTGATTATATGATTCATATCTCATATGATTTATCACAGATGATTCTGATTTTAGTCCATCCCTATAGTGTACAAGTGTGTTTGTTAAGAAGTGACAAGAATAATTACTAATTATACAATAATAATAATATCCTGAAAGACAAAAAGTTTAAAATTAAACGATATCTAATAAAAAGTGATAGACTAGGTATAAATATCAGATTCTAAATAAATAAAATTTGTATTTCTAGTAAATTATTGATGTGTGTAAATAACAGACAAAGAAATACTTAGAATATATAACATTATCAGCAAGATATACCGTCCATTTACAGAGTACAATTTTTGCGTAGATTCCTTTAAACAACTTGATAACAATTTTTTCCATTGAAATAATATTTAAACAACAATAACATTTTATTTATTACGGTGTTTATATTTTTGAAATAAAATATGAAAAACTTTGAATGCTTATTTAAGTTTGCGAGTAAAATCTTAACATATAGTCTTAGACCTATGTCTCAGACTGAATTTTAAGATTTTACTTACTTACGCAACTCTGTCTATACACATATGCCTTTTTAAGCATATAGCCTTTACAGGTTTGTGTATAAATAAATTATATTAGGGATTATATTGCTTTCTTTCGTTTTGTTACCGTTTAGATGCTATGGCGCATATATACCTACGCTTGGAATATGAATGCGTTTGGAAATTAGAAATTATAAGTAGGTATAAGAGCCTAGGACTCAACAGTATGACTTCCTAATAAAAATAGTCAAGAATTAAGATAAATCCTTTGAGAACATAGTTTTTAAATCTTTATATTCGTCTCGTAAAAGATTAATAGCTAAAAGCTGTTATTCCAGTTACCAGAGGTCGTGGGTTTGATTCCCACTCAGGACAAATAATCGTGGGATGAGCACGGTCATTTGTTCTATGTCTGGGTGTACTTTATCTATAATATGTATGTATTCAGAAATATAATGTATAAAATATACCTAAGTATGTTTATCAGCAGTCTGGTTTCTATACTACAGGCTCTGTCTAGTTTAGGATTAGACGGCCGTGTGTAAGCTGTGTGAAAATATTATTATTATTATTATTACTTTAAATATGTACCAATAGCGTTTTCCATCTATCTGTAACAAGAAATTAAACTCGGTTTAAAAGTTTTACTCTCGGGTATTGGTAACTTTAATTTCCTTTAAACTTTATTGATCCAAGAAAGGTATATAATGGCCTACTAGCTTTTATTATATATACATGGTTCTTTGTTTATGATACTCTGGTTTCTTTGTTCTTTGATAATCATCATACAAAAGGAATGTACCATCTTCTCAGCTTATACAATTCAAGTCTATTGATGAAGAAGTAGATGGGCTTTGATCACTAGTAGTGGTAGGGATTTAATTAAGTTTTACACAAAATGACTATGGTCATTTGATGCAATGGTTACGCGTGTAAATAGATAGGCGTATAACACCAGTATTAGTATAACAGTATTAGTAATATCTAGACTACAGCAGTGATAGTTTTGTAATGGACATTATTGGCATTATTTTTATATTCAATTTACTTCTTTGCTTGTTTTACCTGTGCTATTGTTACAGTTTTAATTATTGTATTCCAACATGTCTTCTTATAAATATGTAAATGATAATATATAAATAGAGATCACCTATAGAATACCTTAAAAAAATTGCAAGACAATTTTAAACTAAAGGAACAAAGAACCATAGATTACGTCCATTCGTAAGTCGGTTATTACTGGAAAAGGTATCCTATGGTATTCGCTGATAATTTAAATTTCTATTGGTGAAAGAATTTTAAAATCGGTTTAGTGGTTTAGGCGTGAAAGCCTTACAAACAAAAAAAACTCATTTTAAAATTAATAACAAAAGTATGGATATATGCCGACGGGAGTTAACGCGATCACATAACAAAGAGGTATTGCATACATTTGATCTATCTGATGATTAAAATAGCTTGCACTGGCCATGACTGACGTCATCATCATCATCAACAGACCTTAACAGTCCACTGTTGGACATGGGTCTGTAATTGGAAATGAGGTTTTGACCTAGTATAAATTCAAATAAATATCTTAGCTTGTGACAACTGCAGCATACAATAGCTTTACTTATTATATTTTGTTATTTTATGTTATTTCCTATACGTATACAGATTTATATCGAGAACTTTGGTATTATATTTTTCGTTATTTTTTTCTGCAACTATCGATAAGTAGTAAAGGCGAAGGCTGGCAACGAGCTTGTGACTCCTGAATTGCAGGCGTTCATGGGCGGCGGCGGCGGTCTGTTCGTTTGCCCCCTCTTCCTTAGAAAAAGAAAAGTTTTGGATTTTACTTTAATTTTACACTATTAGAATTCAAGTACTTAAATAACACTCACTACAGTGTGGTATAAATAATGTACAAAGGATGGTAATGGATGGTAAGTATGGTAATTGCGAGTGTGCGTAAAATTTAAATTTATAAAATAATCCTAATTATTCAAATTGTACAGAGCAAGGTTGTGTGAAAAAAATACTGATTATTATTAAGATAACCATTATTAACAGATCAGTCATTAGGATAGTCATTAGATTATCCTAATGACTGATCTGTAGCCGATTCTTGATTGTACTTTCTAGTTCCGATAACATATCTAATCTAACGTTCATCATCAAATTTTTATAAGCGGTTTCAGAAGAAAGCCATAGTAGGTATTTTTCTTTAGAAATCTCCCTTTGAGAAGTCCATTTCTCCAGTACAGTCTTTTGTCGTTGTCGGTTGCGCCGAACACAATGCTGGTAATGGCATGAACTTTACAGACACATTTGAAAAAAGAACAGTAGATACCGCATAGCAGATTACTTGGACTTTCATCCTACACAAGTCTAGGTAATAAGGAAAAGTTTGAAAAACAAAACAGCAAATGCTCTTCGATGAATTTTTTGTTTTTCCTGCCGAGGATCGATCTCAATGGCGTGCAATTGGAGAGGCCTATGCCATGCAATGGAGTGCAATAGGCCGATGATGATGGTGATGAAATGTTTTTGGTACAGCAAGATACCTACTCATAATATTTATAAAAAAAAACATGAATATATTAAAAATATATATATATATATATATATATATATATATATATATATAATATAATATATATTGTGTTGAAGAATCCTTCAGACTGTTAAGCATTTCTTCCAAATCATGCTGAGATTCTGTCGGGATGACTATGTCTTGTGCAAATCACAAGTGTAAGATTTATTGGTATTGAATCCCCGTCCGTTACAATCGAGCGTCACGAAGACGTCTTCCAGTGCATTGGTAAACAGTTTCGGAGATATATGGTCTCCTTGTCTTACTTCAGGATGCGATTGGATTACTTTTGTGCTATCTTCTTGTACTTGGACGGTTATCGTTGCGGATTCGTAAATACATCTCATCACTTGGATACATCGGAAGTCGCTCAGGCATCTCTGAGATGCTGATTATACCCCTTTGTCCTCCTGTTTGGTCCACGGTGCTGGAGCCTTGTCCAAACCCAGTCTGCTCCACGGGCTGGAAATCATCGAATTTTTGAGCAAGACAAATTGCGCTGACCTTCGAAAACAACTTGTACACATGCCTCACTAGTGATATTGGGCAGTAGTTCTTTAGTTCTAGTGTAGTACTTTTAGTTACCGACTTCATAAATTATGTAGGTATTATTTTGGTTTAAGAATTTAGAATCAACCAAAAGAATTTAGCTGGCTAAGTTCTAAAAAACAATGTTTTTACCGACCATAGAATAAGAAACATCCTTTGTTATACTAAGCTCAATCCTAAACAGGAGTTATTTGTTTACTTTAAAAATATTTACAAACACAAATATACTCGAGCCTTATTCAAGTCTGGGATAGGCAGAGACGATAGAACACCATTTGCTCCATTATCAACTCTGAAAATTATTTTCAGAGAAAGTGAAGGAACCAACCACTTTGTTTATTTTAGCAAAAAAAAAATCAAAAATTGCCAAGAGATACATTCAAGCACAGAGTTAATAAAC